TATCTTCACACTGCTGGGTCAAATCTCTTTGTCTTTGTGTCTGACCTAAGACTATTAAAAAGTATCAGGCCAGAACCAGGACTGCTATGGGGCTTCCTTTAATGTAGCAAAGTAATAGAGAAAACATGCTTCTCCTGGAGAGAAGTTTTGACATGGTTTGGTTACAGCTAGGTAGGTCACATCACATGCTCAGTTGACTACCTCCTGCAGTCCTCCAAAAACAAAGTAGAGCTGGGTATCTGACGCTAAGTATCATGGAAGTCTCAGAAAATGTTTTCATCTTTTGATCAGAGTTTTATACCTACTTCTCCTTTACTAAAAAGAAAAAAACAAAAAATTACAACCCATGTGCTAACATAATTGCAGGTAGCACACGCAACGTCACATGTTATTTTAGCTTCCTTAAACTCAGTCATCATCCTGAACAAAAATAAATGTTTGAAGTCTTATTTAAAAAAATAAGTCTACACTAAAGACTACTTCCTAGGAAGTGGATTTAAAACAAAGGTTTTATGATACACAGATCTAATTTTTTACTTCCCTTCCCTGGTTTTATTGAAGTTATATTACATGAAAAATTAGAGAGAGGAAAAAGTATTTCCTAAATTATTATTGGCCACTTGCTCATTTTTATAGATTCTATTGCTCCTCATATTATTTTCTCAGTGAGACTGTCACTTTTTCATTTAGATAGCACTGAATATACAATTAGGAAGTCAGTTACACAAGTTGCTATTAAGAAAATGTAGTATGCATGTATGTGAGAGATCTGAGGTAACCTCAGAAATACCAAAGTAGGTCTTGAGTTGTGACCCGAAGAAGGTCATCTAGAATATAATGGATAGGAAGAATGGGTGATCCCAGAGACACAGATCACCAGAACGAAGGCTCAAATTAAATTATTGTTCAGCAGCTATCATATAATGAATGATTAGTTTTGAAGTTTGAAGTTGCTAATTTTGGGAAGAACTCACAATCCTATATTTAGATGAAATTTCTGATTAAACTGGGACTGACCCACCTACTAAATGCCACAGAGAACTTATCAAATGGAAACCAAAGGGAATGAGCAAAAAGGGCAGGGTATGGGTGGAAATGAGAAGAAAGATTGTGAGCTCAATCAGTTTCACTATGTAAAGAGCAAATGGAAACCATGAAAAAAACTAAGAACATGGGGACTATTGTATTAATACAATATTAGAGCCAATGTCAGTAGCTCTTAGAGAACAAATGTCTCAAAGGCCTTCTGTGATGCTTGCAAAGGCCCAAATAATTAATCATCAGAGGAAATGTTGCCTTTTTGTTTGGTAATGATTGAAGTGTTCATGGGGCTTCCCAGGTGGCTCAGTGGTAAAAGAATCTACTTGCAGGGGACACAGGAGATGCAGATTCAATCCCTGGGTCGGGAGGATCCCCTGGAGGAGGAAATGGCAACCAATTCAGCATTCTTGCCTGGAAACTCCCATGAACAGAGGAGCTTGGTAGGCTGCAGTCCATGGGATCTTAAAAGAATTGGACACAACTGAGCAACTGAGTATGCATGAAGTATCTGATCACCTACACAGAGTGAAGCAGCCAGATGTTTGTGAAAAGGCTCTGTTCCATCAGGCCAAGGATTAGACATTATTCAGTAATCTATTATTATTTACTTTCTTTATTGCCTTACATCTGAGTGGAATCTTAGATGGGAGAGAACATGAGATAAAAATCTAAAATGGACATTTCCAATGAGGGAAAAAACAACATAGAATGTTCTTTCCACTTTATATAACTGTGTCATGTAAAATCTGATTCCTGAATTTTGCTTAAGGAATTCAGTATTGCCATCTGGGGTAAATATGTTTCATTAGTTTTCTATATGATGTCTCTTAAGGATATATGAGGCAATTACATGAAAGAAAAAAAAATAGTTCTGACCTGAGTCCTAATATGGCTTCACTAAATTGAACCAATTATTAAGAAGGAAAACTGGCCTTAAAAATTGCACCACATTTTTAATTCAGTCTCCAAAATATCTCTTCTCTCCATTAAACATTATTAGTTCCTCTGCAATGACCTACTATGTCCAACAGATTTTTGTTTGTTTGTTTGTTTTTATGAAACAACTGTTTTCTTTTGGCCTTGTATTCTGAAATTTCTCCAAAGTAAAAATTAAGCAATGATGAATTATGGAAAAATTGCTCTTCCTTCCAAAATATTCACATCTGGCCTTTGTTTAAATAACTCTAGCTGTCATTTTTGTCAACAGAAATTAACAACAATTAAAAAAAAAAAGATGAAAATAGACATCGTTTGGTATCATTTCAGTTCCTAAAGGCTTGCCATTTTCACATAGGCTTCCCCACAAGACAAAAACCACCCAATACCAGAGAAATCACTCCAAGCCCCTATTGCTTCCTGAAGTGATCATTCAGTGAAATAATAAATCAGTTTCATTCCTACAGCTACTGTTTCTTGCTGTCTTCTTTTTATTTGCTTTCAGCTTGAGTGAGAAATTTATTTTTGACACTTTGTTATTATATGAAGGAGGTAGTTATGTTGGATTGTAAAATGCTGAAATCTTTTCTCATATAGTTATGGAGCACTTCCTTTTCCATTGAAATATAAGCTAAATCTTTATAGAATTCCCATTAAATATCTTTCATTGTGGTACCATCATTAAATGATATTGAAACATGATCAAAGCAGATAATGCAAACTACCAAGTTTGTGGCAGTTTCACATACAAAGGAACCTGGATTTAGATTTCTGTTTTAGTGAAGAGAAAAACCAGTCATATTAGAACCAACTTGATTTTTACCAAGTTTACTCAGGTTAAGAAGTTCTTAAAGTTTCCCTCAGTTTGAGTAAACTTAGACAGACTTCTTCTAGACGCTGGGCCCTCATTGCTCTTTTCCAAAAGCACTTACTTCAGAAAAGTTGTCAATTCTTTCTCTGACCCTTTAAGATGTAAACATTTTTTAAAGCCTCTGGCCATTTTATAAGCCAGGAATGTCTTTCTCAAGGAACTGGAAGTCATCTCTTTGAGATGACTGAGAAACACTGAGAAAGACAGAACCCTTGCTCTCCAATTTCTTTGAAAGCCTAACAGCCTAACTTTCCCGGGCACCTTGCTCCAGTCGTCAAATCACCTTGTGAAGATTGCAACTCTCTGGGGTAAAGCAAAGATCAACAAACCCAGATGGCTGAGGAACTCCCAGCATCACCTCAAATCTTAAAAAAACAAAACACAACTCCCACTCAGACTCGGTTCTGGTTGAACAGGTCTCCTAAGGTCTTCCTTGCAGGTTGAACTTTGTCCAGTGAAACTTTTGCTTGACAAGTGTTAATGGATGTGCTATTCTAGAGTATCGGTGTACTCAAGGTTTTTCACACCAGTTTCTGGACATAGTTTTAAGTATAAAAAAGAAAACATCAAAAACAGGCTTAAGGCTATCATGAAATATCAGAACTAATATAAAATCAAACCAGCTGCTAAAAAAACTATTAAAATGTTCATGAAGTCTAGGACCAAAACTTCATGTTTCTTTCTACAAGAGTCTTATGACAGTTTGGAATCAATAAAATAATAAAATATAAACAATAGAATGAGAGAATAATACAAATGCATCTCCTAGAAGAGAAAACATAGGTGTTGTGATCATGTTTCATATTTGGTTCTGAAGTTCCTGACAGCCAGGAGGAAAAGGAATCAGTTCCTCAAGGCAATTTTTCTTAAATAATTTCTAAAAGTATGTTCATGTAGAATTTCATATAGAGAATAGTGAAAAATTTTAAGGAGTTTTCATGTTAATGTAAACGTACATCTGTGTTTACAGCAACTGCTGTCGCTGCTGCTAAGTCCCTTCAGTCGTGACCGACTCTGTGACCCCACAGACGGCAGCAGACCAGGCTCCCCCGTCCCTGGGATTCTCCAGGCAAGAACCCTGGAGTGGGTTGCCATTTCCTCCTCCAGTGCAGGAAAGTGAAAGTGAAAGTGAAGTCGCTCAGTCGTGTCCGACTCTCAGTGACCCCATGGACTGCAGCCCACCAGGCTCCTCCGTTCCTGGGATTCTCCAGGCTAGAGTTTACAGCAGCACTATAACATAAATATATGTTGTTAAGCCACCCAATCTGTGGTTTTTTCTTATGGAAGCCTGATGAGACTGATACAGCAGGTATGAATGAATAAAGGGATGAATGAATACTACCTTGCATTATTATGAATCCCTCTTAGGTCAGTTTAAGAAATCAGAAAATTCGGTTGGTAAATTTGCCATCCTTTCGGCACACTGATACAATTTTTGGCGATTCTATTAGTAGAGTTTATAGCAGTGAATTCATTAAGAAACGGGGCTAGTTTCTGATAGTTTAATATTGTAAATTAAATATGGCCAACCTGGGGAGGTGATTAATAAAAACACAAGGATTATAAATCAGAAGGCTCAAAGTTTATGTTTAAGCTCAGTCATTTGGAGAAATGTACTAAGAGTCATGACTATCAGAGCAATGATTTACTAACTAATTTTTAAAAGAGAACTCTGAAGGAAGCAGTGGTTTATAGATAAACACTGTTGAGCTGATGAAACATAGCTTTTAAATACATCCTTACTTCAGTTCTTCTTTGCTTTAAATCTTAACATGCTTCATTTATGCTGCCACTTAATATGCTTTAATCATAATCTGTTTCCATGTTACTTAGTCTCCTCTGAGGTTTTAATTATTAATTCATGTTTTTGAACTTATAGTTTATCCATGATATTTCTGATATTCTAGAGTAAATTACCAAATGAAAAGACTGACAATTTATAAATGCCTTCAAATCATCTCTCATATTCTACAGATCCAGCCAATAGCCTTCAAAATCCCTAGATGTGACCATGATGTGTTATTTTCATTAACTCATTCAACCAATATTCTTTTGGCCATCTACCAGACACTACATCAGTTTCTGGGGCAGGGGAGATGAATTTGACATACTCCATGCACTCATTGAACTTAACATTTAGTACGAAACTCACATGCAAACTACAAGGAGATGTGGTAGCCAATTCAACCCAAGTGAGGAGGTGATGCCTTTTAGGGAAGAGAGGACTGGCAGGACATTAAAAGATGAGAAGGTGTTTTCCAGGAGCCAGATGTATTAAGACTGAATCAGGAGGAACAAAAGCCTGGAGGTTGGCAAAATTTAAAAAAAAAAAAATTCAGAAAATGTTTAACCTAATTTGAACAACTGAGACACATAATACACTAGTTTGTAGAGTTTATAAAGCAAGACTTCAAAGTTTATCTTTCCTCAAATTCTTATCCAGAGACATTTTCATGTCTGTCTAAATATATCAACACTAGGCACATGGATCCAATGACCTCCATGTGTTTTTATCCAGCATATTTGTTTTACTTTTCAATTGACTTGTGAATCAAAATCTAGACGTGCTCAGTGGCTCAGTCATGTACAAATCTTTGCGACTCACCAGACTGTAGCCTACCATGCTCCTCTGTCCATGGAATTCTTCAGGCAAGAATACTGAAGTGGGTTGCAATTTCTTTCTCCAGTGGATCTTCCCAACCCAGTGATGGAACACACACCTCTTGCATCTTCTGCATTTGTTGGCAGATTCTCTATCACTAGAGCCATCTGGGAAGCCCAGTATCTACAGAAGCAATTTAAAATAGAAGTGATTATTTTAAATCAGATATATAGAGACTGATGTATCTATATAACCTGAGGTTCTAATCCTGAAGCCATTCATGAACTGTATACCTTAAATGTTAAAAACTAATATTAAGTATTAATGTTTCTTTTCCTAATTAACACAAACATACTTATTGAGAAAGATTTGGAAATACATAGAAATATAATGGTCAGTTATCAATAAATGTTAACATTCAGTTCAGTTCAGTCTCTCAGTTGTGTCCGACTCTTTGCCACCCCGTGAATTGCAGCATGCCAGGCCTCCCTGTCCTTCACCAACTCCCAGAGTTTACTCAAACTCATGTCCATCGAGTCGGTGATGCCACCCAGCCATTTCATCCTCTGTCGTCCCCTTCTCCTGCCCCAAATCCCTCCCAGCATCAGGGTCTTTTCCAATGAGTCAACTCTTCACATGAGGTACATGTAATGAACATATCAGATACTGTTTCTATTTCCATTTAAATGATAGTTTCATTTTTTAAAGGACAAGGTCAAATTGCCCAACAGGAACACCACACCAAGTTCTAGTCCTCCAGTAGTGCATGTTTGTTAAAAAAAAAGAAAAAAAAAGTTTATTAAAGGCTTTGCAAATTTGATAAGAAAGAATGACATTTCATTATTCTAATATGCATTTCTTTGATTTGCATTTGCATTTCAGATAACATACTCAGTTCCATTTTCATCTAGTTCCTTGATTTCATTTTTATGTTTAAATATTTAATGCATTTTGGAATAGAATACAAAATAGAAACACAGTTCCATCACTTTTCAACCAAGTAATTAATCAATTGTTAGAACATTGTTACTGAGTAGACTTTCATTTTCCAAATAATTGAGCTATCACTTTTATCATACTGATACTGAATATATCTCAGGTTTTTTTGTCACAGGGCTTTCTATTTATTTTCACTAATCTTAGATTCTTGTACCACATCATTACTTCAACTATTGTCATTTAATAACACTTATTCACACCTGGTGGTTCAAATGACCACATATATTCAGATGTTGTACTATAAATGATTCATAGAATGGTGGCATTCACCTTACATATGTGTATCAGATCAATTATTGCCCAAACATCTGTAAGACTATCCTGAAGAGTGAAAAAAGCAGCAAAGAGCAAAAAAATCTGTTCATTTTAGTTCTTAAATACTTTAAAAGCAAATATCATAGAAATCCAAATTATGTCAATTATATTGTGTCCTCCTAATATTTTCCAAGTACAGCAGCTGATACACATATACAAAATTGCTGAAGTGGTAATAACTGGAAAAAATTATTTTATGTGCATTCTATCCAATATTTCCATTATTTACGTGACTTATAGAGCCACTGAAATAAAGTGGAAAGAGAATGTTACTATCAACTTAAGCACAAATTTCAGCAAAGGAATTTAAACAAAAATTTCAATGATTAGATATTTACCATCAGAGTTTTTTTTTTAAAGCATATTAAATTAACTTCTTTCATTATTTGGGTTCAGAGTCTATTAAGACTATTAAGACCTTAGCAGCAAATAAAAACAAAGTTATTTGATCTTTTCTACTAAAACTGATTTTCAAAACAGTTGCACAATATTCTGTTAAACTGGTAACAATAATACTGCACATGAAAGATGCTTGCTTCATTTGAGTATATTAAATTACTCAGTTCAATGATAATTCATAATTGTAAGTAATAAATGCCATACATGGACATTCAAAATAGTAGCCTATCATACTGCAACCTCTTAAAAATGTCACTGAATTTGCAAATCTTGCTTTAGAAAATCATGCAAATATTTGGATAACACACAAATGAATTAAGTATGTATTATAATTCTAAATTCATGTTGGGACATTTTTCATCTCATTAGAGTTGCTAAATAAATAACATACATTTTATGTATATTGAGTTTTCTAAGTAACTCATAAGATATGATTTTCTGATAGTATCATGTCCAAAATATCGTGACTCCTTTCTTATCTTAGTAAGGTGGGGAATGGTGAGCCTCAACATGGTCCCCACAAGTATTTTCCAAAAGTTTACTAGAGAATCATCTATGGACAGAATCACCCACAGATGGAATACTTCATCATCCAAGTTTTTAAAGCTCCTTATCTAAAAATAATCAAATGGCAAGATGTTCTGCCCTAAGAGGGAAAAATAATAGCAGTACCTTACTTCTTTTCTTCTGTTTTCTTTTATTAGGTAGTTGCAGGAATACATCCCATTTTCAGGAAGGTAAACATCTCCTTTATTAAAGTTTTCTCTGGTAGGAATCAGTAATAAAAGAGGATAATCTCTCCCTGTATACTGTCTTTCCTTAGGTAGTATATTTTTCACATCATTCTTTGACATTATTAAAGAACACTGTCCTCGTAGCATAGCCAACTTTTAAACTTTTAATATATTTCTCCAATTTTATTTTAGAAAAGGGACTTTTTTTCTGAAATGGGAAACATAATAAATTTTAAAACTTTAATAGTTTCACTTTCTATCCCATGTGTTCCAATTACATGAGTCGTGTATTTAAATGGAAAGCACTCCCTATACAATGTGGGAGCCTTGTTAGAGAGGGGCAAATTTAGCAGATTTTTAGACAGATTTCTAAGGGAAAAGATAAAATCATGCCAGATATTATCCTACTAAAAAACAGAATTGATTTTGTAAAGGAAAAACAATGATGTAAAATAAATTCATTTCTAAAAAATAAAAATCAACTTTGTTCAGCATAATGAGGTTTAAAGAAAAAAAAAAAAAGCTAAGCAGGTAAAAACCTAACCCAGGTTTTCAATTTTCAGGAAGTGAACAAGAATGTAGCTATCAGTATACCAGGAAAGGGATCTGGGCAAGCCCTGGGGATCCAATTAGTTTAGAACCTCCAACTGGGCTTTCCCTATGGGGAGATCTATAAAAACAACAGGTGACATATTTCTGTAAAAACAAACGTACATGGGTATGTGTGTGTCTACATCAGACATATGGGGCCAGATGAGGCCCTGCTCTTGTCGTTTGTGATAGTTTGAGGTTGAAATGTAAAAATTCTCGATTGTCAAATCTTGTCACTTACCTTTTTATTGGCTTGTTTCTGCTTCAAGACTGAAAGGAAATGAAAGCTAACTCATTGCTTTCTCTAAAAACATCATTATTGGAATGTTTATACAATAGAACAATCAAGCTCAATGATTAAAGTTGACCAATACACATGTTTTCATTGATTTTCAGTGGGTATGAAATGCAATTCACTTAAAACTGGCAAATATTTCCAAGAGTTAGAGAAATAGAAAAGACATCTTTTAGAAGTGCGATCTTGTAACTACATGTCAAATTTGATGTAAATAATTACAAGGCAGAATTACCCTCTCCCCAGCCTTTAACCTTTTGCCTAAATTGTTACTTTCTTTGTGATGAAAGATCATTCGATTTTTTTATGTTCCAGAGTCCCTGCAGACAAAAATTACTCTTTTGGAAGTTGCTATTGTATTCTGTTAGGTCCATCAGTTGCAATTCTTAAAAACACCAAAGTTCTATTTAAGGAGAAAATTAGGTTTATAACTTGTCCGTTGCTCAATTTTCCTTCTTTTCAATACAAAGAGGAACACTTTATGTGAGATTTCAATCAGGAGAAGAAAAGGGAGTGCTGAGGTAACTACCTGTACCTTGGTAGGGTGCCAGGAACATCGAGGACAACACAAAATAGACCAAAACCACTCATTGGAGATGAAATCTTGATGCAGAAATAAAGGACCTGATTATATTTACCACTGAGAGCACACGTTTCCCTCCTTACAACTAATGACAATCAAGAAATTAAGTATTTCAGTGTTTCATAATTAGAAATAAATTCTAATGTATGTGTGTGCACTGTGTTATATTTAGCCATAAGAATATTTTTGCAAACCTAAGTAGACATTCCAAAGGTTTGTTTTTGCTTACCTGGGCTATAAATCAGAAAACACCCTAGATGCTGTGAAAAGTATACAGTCCACTCCAAAGACCCAGTCTATTATAACTGCCACACATCTCAGCCAGGGTGAAAGAGGAGCCTGAGACAAGTATTAAAGTGCAGATCCTTTACTTGGGAGCTGCAAAACAAGGGTAAAAAGGAAAGTCAGCAAAAAAGGCTCTAAACCAATGTGAAATGTGTCGCTGTGTGCTCCCTATCACTTCTCCGTAAGCCGCAGAAAAAAGAAGGTGCAGAGTGTTTAGCAGGCCTGGCTACTTAGAACGTGAGTCTTCTTTGGACCAGGGGCAAAGAGAAGCTGTGCCTTGAAATAGCTGATACAGGTAAGGAGGTAAAGAAATGGCTCTGCCTGCTTCCTCCTCACTTGTTTCCTAGGGGTCATCTCTCAGGGGGTTAACACCCAAGCACTCTGAACCTATCACCTGGCAGGCAGGTGCTTAGAATGCCAGAGTCTACCCCTAGAGCACAATGCTTCATTGAGTCCAAAGTGATGGGAGTAGTTGGAAACTCAGCATGTGGCTGGTTGGCTCCACAGGCCACCTTGCTTGTTCAGTGTGGCCAAGCAGAAGGGCCAAGCCCTCCCAGAGTAAATGACTAAGCAGAAGACTAACTCTTCTGTCTTAGGTACAGACCTGAGTGGACTTTACCTTCTGTCCACAGAGAAAGTGACTAGCATGAAAAAGCTGCTGAAGTTTCAGGTAGGGGCAGTGCCTAGGTAAAAATGAGGAAGAAGATAATGTACTCATGTGTAGTGGATAAAATAATAGGTTGGCATAGAAGCAAAAACATATAAGGGAACATACCCAAATGGAGCAATCACTTTGTGGTACATGATGGGTTTCTTAGACTGACTAGATGCC